TTTATGCTTCTCTATAATTTTGTTCACTTCATTTGCCCCATTTTCTATTGGTATGCCTATAGAACTTTTTCCTATTGTCTTATATAAACTTTATTCTTTATATCATAACAATATTTACTCATTGTCTCTCCTTTATGCTGCCATTTGGTCTCCAGTTCAGTGTTTCCCTTTTTATTTGACCTATGTTTATATACAAATGCATATTTTAAATTTTGTAGGTTTGTGCATAGTGATATGTTCCTTTATCCACACTGTTCTGTATCTATTTTAGAAAGATGTACCAAAATATGGCACATCCCACAATTTTTCCAGCATATTTTGTATATTGTTGATACTGAAATCTGTGCCATCTGTTACTTATATGGCTGTATGACATATATAAGTAAATATTTCTGTATTAATACAGTGGTCTTAGTACTTTTAAAATACACAAACTCATAATGGTGAGGCTGGAGATCTCTATCAATAAAACATCAATTTACATTTTAGTCTATGTTATAATTGGTAACATTGCTTCCTCTATGGGCAATATTTTCTTTCCTTGGTCAAGTACATAGTGAGCATAATGACTTTTGATCTTAGAATTCACCCCTAATATGTAAGCATATTTGGTCTTGCTTTTTCTAGTGGGGCAATTAAATATTATGGTTTCAAGTTAAATATAATTAATATATATTAAATATAATTAATATTAAATATAATTAATATTTTTGGTGTATATTCACAGTGTTACTGAACTCTGTACTTTTACATTAGTTATTGAATTATAATTTCTATACTTTTTTTCCATTTAGGATCCATCAAATTAGTTAATTGAGGTGATATGACAATTTTATTTGTATACCAAAAATTAGGAATTTGCTCTATCCAGTGTAGAATGCAAATTATGTGCATAAGAGGCAGATGGCAGGTTTAACAATGGTCAAGACAAGAAAAGATAATAACACTGAGCTGTGAAATAATAATCTATTACCTCGCAGAAGAGTAGAGATCCAACTTAAAAAAAATGATGGAGAAAAATCTCTACAAGGAGAGAATTAGGCTTTTTAGAATACGCTTTAGAGTAGATAACTTACTAAAGTAAATGAGGAAGTGTGTGGTGGGAGTGTGGAGCAGAGTACCAGATATAATTGAACATTTTCTAAAGTAAGTCACACCCTTGAATTTAATTTGAATCAGTGTGCTAGCATCTTAAAGGGAACAAACATCTTATCCATCTGGTTGCCATCAGTGCCTGGGTGCTTGTGTGCCTACTGAAGGAACAAATGAATGGACTGAGGAATATGAATAGTGCAAAAATGAAAACTTACTGATTATTCGGTTAATAAAACTATAGTAGATACCCAACTTTAAGGTTAAGCTGATGTTGGGGTGAATATTTTTCTTATACTGCCTACAGTTATATCTTTCTATATCTCCTAAACAATCAAATTTAGGAATAAAAATATATTAAAAATATAATATAGTATTTAATATATTTAAGTAATATACTAAGTAACATAGATTGACATTACAAACTTACTGGCTTAAAACAACACCCATTTGCCCTAACCAGTTTGGCTCACTGGATAGAGCATCGGCCTGTGGACTGAAGGATCCCAGGTTCGATTCTGGTCAAGGACATGTGCCATGGCTGCTGGCACATCCCCAGTAGGGGGCGTGCAGGAGGCAGCTGATCGATGTTTCTCTCTCATCAATGTTTCTAACTCTCTATCCCTCTCCCTTCCTCTCTGTAAAAAAATCAATAAAATATATTAAAAAAAACCCAACACACCCATTTATTATCTCAGTTATGCAGGTCAGAAGTCTGGTTTGAGTGAGTTCTCTCCTCAGGGTCTCAGAATGTTAAAATTAAGGATGCATTAGAGGTAAAGAATTGTGGATTGGGTTCTTATCTGAAGCATGAGAATCGTGGATTGGGTTCTTACCTTCCAACCTCATTCAGGTTATTGAAAGAATTCAGTCCATTGGGGTTGTAGGACTGAGGTTCCTGCTTTCTTACTGGCTGCCAACTGGGGGACATTCTCAGCTCCTGGAGGTCCCCCACCATTCTCTGCCAAATGGTTCTATCTATAACACGGCAGTGTGATCCCTTAAGGCTAGGAGTATTTGCTACAGCTTAGAGTTCTGACTTCTTCCATCCTGACATTTAGACCTTTTAAAGAGGCATAAAAATTCTTACTAATATATTTTGTATATAATTAGACCAATCAGGAAAGTTTCCTTTATAATTAATTCAAAGTCAAGTGATTAAGGGTCTTACCTACTTATGTAATAACCTTTTGGCCACATAATGTAACATGCTCATGGAATAACACCCCATGATATTCACAGATTTTTCTTGCACTCAAGGGGAGAGATATATATATAAGGCTTGTACACCCAGAGTGAAAATATTGGTGTCATCACAAAATTCTGCTTATCATAGGACACCCGCTGGCTCCAATGCTTCACTTCCCTCTCAGGTACAAAATACATTCACTCTTTCCCAAGGCTCACAAGATTATCACTCCATTACAACACCAATTCAAAGTCCAAAATATCATCTTAATTTCACCAGCTCAAAGTCAAAACTTTCCCCATCTCAGTCATCTAAAATGGTACAAATGAGGCTCCTGAGAGCAGACTTTGAAGAAGCCTGACCTTCAGTCCCAAAGGTATAGTCCCCTCTATGTATGTACTCATGAAACCAAAGAGACAAGCTACTTGCCCCAACACTCCCAACACACAATGGTGGGACATCCATAAGATAGCATGTATAAAGATTCTGGCTCACCAAAAAGAGAATAGAAAGTGAACAGAAGCCACTGGTCCAAAACAATTTTAAAATCCAGCAGGGGGGAAATGTTTGATTTTTCTTGATTATGTTTCAGGTTCTATGACTTAATCCTCTGTAGCTGTGGACTTTTCTTTCCAAGCTCTTGCTTCTGTTGTCTGAGTCATCCTTCCTTTCTCATGAAAGGCAACATACGTTTGCAGCTGAGTAGTTTTATCACTTGCTTCACACCATTAGGATTTTGGTTTTCTGACAACCTTTCTGTATTTTGTACTTGCTGTCCCTTTCAGTCCAAGTTGACAGTGTTTATGCTGAAATAATTTTCTCAAGAACCTTGTGGACCTTGCTTAAAATTCACTAGGTTTTGCTCTCTTACACTAAAGTCACACCCATAAATCTGTTTGTGATCATCCCTTTTCTCTCCTTGGCTCCTACTGAGATCGCTGAAGGTCATTACCTTTAATTCTCCAGGAGGCCTTCTGTTAGGCATACCATTAACCTCTCAAAATGACCTCTTAGTTACTGACACTGTGATCTTTTGATATTTCTCATGATTAAACAAAGGTTGTGTGGTTACAATGTTTAATCAGTTTTACAGTTCATTTCAGAATATATTTAAATGTTAAATAAGTTATCTTTCTTAAAGAATACAAGTCACACTTAATACTTAAAAATGTTATGATCTCTTTTGCAGTACCTCTAAATGTGCCCATCTCCATTAGATAGATATTAAAGCAAAACTACAAAGGCAATGACTAAATTAGTTTCAATAGAAGATTATTGTAAATTTATGAGATAATCACAAAGAATGCCATTGTAATACTCATCATTCAAATGAGAGTAATCATCTGTTACTGTGTAGGAACATAAAATGTAGAGTGTTTTTTTCCTATGGAGAAAGAGGACTCTGTGTCTTCTGGATTAGTCATTGAAAAGTCCACCCACTTGAATGACTTCTGGAAATAATTTAATTATATATGCATGGAAACTTTTACCTTTTTCACAAGTAGGAATATTTCTAATAATATATGCACAGTATAATATCATTCATCATTTCTTACATAAGAAAAAATTTAAATACTCATAGATCTTCATCAATCTGAGTTGGAAGGGACCAATATTGCCTGAATTTCTTCAAAAAAACATGACAAGAATTTTGGGTATTCTTTTTCCCCAAAAAAATACCTTGCTGAAATAAAGACAGACTATTTCTAACATTTTGATCAACTACTGAAATGAAGACATAGATAGCAACCTGCTTTTTAAATCTGCAAAAATGCTGGGTAAGTTATTTAACACACTCTATGATGGTATCAAGATTTAGAAAGACTGAGTGACATTCAATACTTCTGGGGTCCTAGAATTCTCCAATTGGATAATTAGAGAGGAATTTAAGACCTGAACTATTTATTCACTATACGAAATAACTGTCTGATAGATTTAGCATTTATGAATTGAAAAAGATTGGCTACTGTGCCTATCATTGAGAAATCCTTGACATTTCAGATATATTTGAAAATGTATAGCTTCAAATTACAAGGTGCCAATTTGTTAAAGGTAGCCAATTTCTCAGGATTATTTTCTATTTGCATTCATTTATTAAGCATGAATTATTCAAGGTTTCTAAAGAATATCCCAAATATATATCTATTATTATGACTCATTATTTGTTAGAACACAATTTTCTGAAATTGCTATGCTTTGTACCTAGGTCTGGGTATCACACATTGTGCCATTTTATATATTTTTTGAAACTTTTTATATTTACTCCCTTCCCAAGCATTTCTCTCTCTTTGCCCACTTTAATAGAAACTCTGTAGGTGTAGACCTATTTGAAATAAATGGGACTTCAAGAGAAGCTTACTGAAGAGAACCTACCAAATATTTCTACATATGTTTTTAAGATTTATACTCAAACTTCATCAGACGCTGCTGTATCAGTTCTGTAAACTTTGTAGAAGCTCAACCAAATACAGAGAACTCATTTCCTAGCCAAATAGTGGAAATCGTCTTTAGCAAGGTTTTGATACATAAGTAGACAGAATGTCATGGGTAAAACTCTCTCCTGTCACCGGATTCCAAAGAAGGAAAAGGACTTTCCATGATTCTATAAGTTACCCAACCACACCCTGCTGAGCTCAGACTGCACCGAGAAAACACCACTAACAGCTATGAGACTTGCATCACTGCACACATGGGAAGGACAGCCAGCCCAGAAGCTTACGTTCTTGAAAGGATGTGAAGAGCATCTGAAATCTGCTGTTCCGACTGCCCTCGTCCGCCCACATGCGGATCACCCCCAGGCCTGTGCGCAGCATGACGTCATTGGCCACAGTGCTGCAGAACTTGGCTTTCAGATCCTCCACAGAACTGCTGCCGTCATACACGGCCACAAAATTCCTCTTGCATTCATTTGAGTTCTGCATCTCATAGTCCAAGAATCGCAAGTAGATCTGTAACACAAAAAGGACACAATAATTTCCCCGAATCAAAATATGAAAGAAGTAGAGTACCAGAACTCCCTTTCTCTTTCTCAGACTCACAAGACAGTCTTGATTGCAATCAATGGTATTATTTTTCCCTGTGGATAGCAAGAATGAAGGATGTATAAGTTCAAATTGTGTTTCATATTTTTTCAAATGTTATTATCCTTTCTTTATGTAAATGTCCCATTTTCCAAGGCTGAGGATTTTTACCCCAAATGGTCCTATTTCTCCCTATAACAGTACAAATATGATGCATTCCTGTTAAAGTTCCATGGCTCCCACTTACTTGCAAAAATCTATGGATATAGATAATTTGTATTAATACCAAAGGAAAAGAGAAGGTTATTAAAAGGTAGTCTCTGTCTTCACTATGTTGAAATTATTTCACAGAACTACATTGCTTCACTTTTGAGCTAGATTATATATATAGCTAACCTACGATTATTTTCAACCTAATATAGAGAATAGTCATTTAGTTAAGGCCACATAAATACAAATTAATTAACATTTAATGAATATAAGCTATTATGCAATCTACTTTATAGGTTATTTTTAAAGACTCCCAACAACTCTATAAAGTTTTATTGACACATTCAAATGAAAAAAACCCCAGATGATATAAATTGGAAATTAGACATGAGGTCCCTCTAACTCAGTGGTTCTCAACCTTCTGGCCCTTTAAATACAGTTCCTCATGTTGTGACCCAATCATAAAATTATTTTCGTTGCTACTTCATAACTGTAATGTTGCTACTGTTATGAATCGTAATGTAAATATCTGATATGCAGGATGGTCTTAGGCGACCCCTGTGAAAGGGTCGTTCGACCGCCAAAGGGGTCGCGACCCACAGGTTGAGAACCGATGCTAACTCCTTGGTCTATAATCCTCCCACACAATCACACGGCTTCACACATACTTTTATGATCAACAGTTAAGATTTGACTCTGTTCCAATGTGCATTAAAAACTACAAGCAATTAATTCAACCAATGATAGATTTTAAAAATTTTAAAATAAGTCATTTGTCCATTTATCCACTAATTCAGCAACATCTACCCCCTGGCCTCTTACTTTGTCTTGGACACTACTCAAGGCACTGAGGATGGGATGGGGAACACGAGGATGAGGGCCGGGGATGAAAATGTGTGTCCATTAAATCACGGCAGAAAGATGAAAGCCAAACTGTGAGAAGTGAAAACTCAGGCACCCTAAGAAGGCTATCTGGGCGGGTTCTGGAATCAAAAAGGCATCTTCCATACAGATGTTTCTGAAGTGTTTCACATTTTTTAAAACATGAATGCCTATAGGCTCTTTCCTCTTAAACGCCCTCTTATTAATGTATCACTTATAAACTAAAGACAATGCATTCAATTAAAAATTCAACTCTTTCATCACTCAATATTCTTTTTTTTCTTATTTTTTCACAATCTATGAATCTTATAAGACAATTTTTTCCAGATCTCCTTTCCCCGCCCCCACATTAATAAATTTTATTAGCCCAGCTGGTGTAGCTCAGTGGTTGAGCATCGAGCGATGAACCAGGAGGTCATCATTCGATTCCTGGTCAGGGCACGTGCCTGTGCTGCAGGCTCAATTGCCAGTAAGGGGAGTTCAGGAGGCAGCCGATAGATGATTTTCTTTGATCACTGATGTTTCTATCTCTTTTTCCCTCTGCCTTCCTCTCTGAAATCAGTAAAAACATATTTAAAATTTTTTTTATTATTTCAGATAAAATAAATCTCTCTTCTGTCCTTGATATTCTCATTGAGAGGGGCACTAATGCTTATTAACTTAACCCTCAGAAAAGTGTTTTTTAGCCTCCACTGATACTTCTGTGATATTTCAAGTTTCCCAACTGTCCTGGGTGTTTTGCCAGTTCACCTCCAATGCCTGCCCCAGTAAAAGTTATGCTTCTAAAAAAGCAAATCTAATACTCATACTAATATCTTTCCCTGGCTTCCAAATGGTTATAATGAAAAAAATTAAAATCCATAAACTGGCAAATTTTCCTTCTTATCTTTGAACATCACATAGTTATTTTTATGTACATAACAGAACTTCTACAAGAAGTAAGCATTTTCCATTCTCTGTCTACCAACTTCTTTCTGAATTTTCAAGATCTAGTTCAATGGCTGATTGGAATTTCTGTTTTCTTTATGACTTCATTTGTTCAACATCCATCACATATTATTTAAATGCTAGTGTTTTAAGTGCTACACATAATAATGATATAGAACAAAGGATATTTTCATTATTTTAATATTATAATTCTCAAAATAACATATTTATAAAACTCTAAACTATAACATAAAACTAAAAGACACAGTGTGTTGCAGAATTATAAGGAACAGTTGCCATAACTCTCTTAAAATGAAACAAATAAGGTTTAGAAAAACCTAAGTAACATTCTCAAAGTGACACAGGCCCCTAAGAGTGGTAATGAATTCAGCTTGTCCTGACAATATGCCCCTCAGTATCACACTACACAGCCTCACATATGTATTTTTAAAATTCTCACAGGCTTATATTCTATAAAGCAAGTTAAAATCTTAAAGTAAACAAGCTACAACAAAATTAGTAAATAAGCAAAACCATCTCCCTTTTCCTAAAGGGGCAAAACCATCTCCCTTTTCCTAAATTGACCACTGAGATATAAGTGAGGTTCAGTGAAAATAAATGTGTCCCTCTGAAGTCAATGGCTGTCTTCAGTTTTCCCCAGAGATACAGTGATTTGAAAGAAGAATATTGCTACCGTTAGAGAGGCAGTGTGTATATCCCGCCCACGTTTGCTCATGTGACAGTTCTGGAGAGAAGCTGTATTTTCCCTAGAAGGTGATTGATTTGCGAACTGCAATGACCTATGTCTATGTGCCTTCTATAGTTAAGGGCCATTCTTGTTAAACAGAATATTAATTTACAGAGGAAGTGAACAATTTTATTCTTCACTTCTGAAGTATTCAATTATTTTTTAACTTTTTCCTTATCAATCAAGAAAAGAAATACAACAAGCCAGTGGGTATGTAGCTTTGCTGGGTGCAGGGCTGTTACTACAAATATCATTAGCCAGAAAAGTGACCCAGGTTTCCCACACTCACTCTCCCAGGCCTCAAGTAAAAGCCCTCCCTGCATTACACTTTAAACAATATTCCAGCAATTAAAGCTAGTGCCATAGCATCACTGAGGGAAAGGGTGCCATATGACAGTGTTTTTACTCAGGGGAGTAAATGACAGAAAGCCCCCAGTCTCTCTGCTGAAAAAAAGAGAAAATGACCAACAGAAACATTTATAACTCCAGTAAAATAGTCCAATTATAATCTCTCGGTAAATCATTTGGATGCATTCTTCTTTCAAATCAATCACGAAGTTCGAGCTGACAAAATGATTTATTAAACACGACTTGGGAAGCTTCGGAACGCGTAAGCAATTTCTAGCGATATCTGTCTTCCCATCACATTAATAAGGAGAGCAGGGTCCCTTTTGTATACTTACAGCAGGTAAATCTAGCCAACAATTTGCTAAGTAATATATTTACAAACATTTAATCCTGACCGTTCAACCTGGTGCCTCCCTTCACATCACAGTGATGTATAGAAAACGCGCATTGTTTGGGGCAGTTATTTAAGACTTGCCAGAACACTTTTCTCCAATAAAATACAAATTAAATACACACAGTCTGAGAAACACTGTCCATGGTTTCAAAACTTTACACTTTGATAAAGCCACATTCAAAAACTTGTGTATGCAGTCCCTGACACTGAAATATTGCCGGTTCAATTTCCGGTCAGGGCACGTGCAGGAGAGAGCAGGTCTATGTTTTTCACATTGAACCTTCTCTTTCCCTCTCCCTCTCCCTTCCTTCCTTTCTATCTCTCTCTAAAAAATAAATAAATAAATAAATAAATAAATAAACTCTCATATATATATATATATATATATATATATATATATATATATATATAGATTCCTCCTATAGAATCTCACTTGATCTTTGGGAAGCTCCATTATTCAAATATATATATATATATATATATATATATATATATATATATATATATATTGTGTATATATAGCCAGGACTTGTGCAGTTGCTGTTTGATTGTGACTGGATATGCTGGGCTATGTCCAGCAGGACACCCCATGAGTTTGGGAGGCAGCAGCATCCAGAAGAAAGCCAGAATGTCAACCTCTTTTCTGGAATGTTGGTAAAACACACACCCTACAACAAATCTCAATATAACATTATAAACATTATTTTCAGATCACAATAAATAAGTATCAAACATTTAAAAAGTCCATCTGAGTAGCCCTCCAAATTCCAGTAGTGCAAAACTGAGATATCATTGAAAAACAGAATTGAACTGTGACATTTTCGTTGGTAGTTACCTAGCCAGTTAAATTTTTCACTTTGTTTACCAAATTCTCATTTCCCTTTTTTGAGATAATGAGGGCAAACTCAATCTTTAGAACTCTAAAAGGTATCATTGTGATCCATTAGAGTTACTATTCTTTGTCTATTGGATTAGTTTTCTCCTTGCTCTGTAACAAATTACCGCAAATTGAGCAGCTTGATTTATCATCTCTGTAGGTTAGAAATACTAGGAAGCTAACTGCGGTCTCTGTTAAGAGCATATACTAGTATATGAGGCAGAAACCCCAAGTCTTTATAGCTCGTTTTCTTAACCATTTGCCAGGGGTCTGTTTTAGCTCCTAGAAGTCAGCCTTAGCTCTTCACTCTGACTTGCCCTTTGTCCACAGCAAGAGAAAACTCTGATGTTTAAAAAGCTCCCGTGATTACATTAGGCTCACCTGGATAAACTCTCTTTTAATTAACTCAGAGTGAACCGATTGGGAACCTTAATTGCATCAGCAAAATCCCTTTTGCCAGGAATTTAACATAATCAAGTGTGTGATATTTTATCTCACTCACTGTCCTAGGGACTAGGCTGGAAATCTCAGGGGTCATCTTGAAGATTCTGCCTACAGCAATTAAGTTCATTATATAATTAACACAACATCACTATGAAATTGACTTATTATATTTGTCAAGGTTTCTGATTACTTTATCCTAATTTTATTCAAAATATTTTTGAAATAAGGAGCAATGTACTCAAAATTAATTTGAAGTTTTAAATGTTGGGTAATTACTAAAAGCTAGAGTTTTATTCTCCCAATACCTAAAGTCATTAAATTATCTCCATTTATACATTTTTATATGCCTTTGACCAATTTCTTTTCCTGACTTACAAATTTGACCATGTCCCCGCATAGTGTGTTTTTGTGGACTGTACTGGGAATTAGGAGATGAAAATCTTTTTCAGCACTGTTACTAACTAGCCAAATATTTGGGCAGTCATCCATTACAGACTCATCAAGTTTTGGCCTTGAAAGGAGTTTAATATTATCTGCGCCCAAAATTTACTTGATTTTTTAAATTATTATACAAAATTCCTGCCAAACTCTACTTGGATTCCTCCTATAGAATCTCATTTGATCTTTTGGAAGCTCCATTATTCAAACAAAAGCAAAAACCGTATCTATGTTGAATCAGAAGCTATATTTCTCCAGTTTCAAACATTCAAATACATTGCAGTACTAAACCCCAGCAGACTAGCCTAATCCTATGATTCCAGTCAGATGACAGCCTTCAAAATTTGGAAGATTGCTACCACATCCATTTCTCTAAGATAGATATCAGTTTATTTTTTCCATGAGTTTTAACTGGATGACAGACATTTTGCTTGGCACTAATAAGTAAGCCAAATTTCGTGAAATTAACATTCAAGTAGTTAACATGACTTGATTTCACCCAACATTTGTTTCTGTACCAGACCCAGAACAAGACAGCATGATCCCCTTCTACCATCCTTGCCCTAGAAGCTATATGAATACCAAAGACTTGCTTACAAAGGCATTTTCTCTCATCCCATTGTTAACCCTTATAAAACTTCATCACCCTGACTCAGCTTATCCATCTGTCAAATGAGCTAATGAGTAATAGATTCCCAAAGTTCTCCCTGACTGGTATTCCAAATTCTAAGAAACTGAATTAATCACATTCTCATTAAAGGTGACCATCTGTGTTACTATTCTCAAACAAAGCAGATATCATTTATTGTATTCTTAATTTATGTACTTCACATACATTTTAATAGAACCCAAAAAAGCAAGATGTCTCAATCACCAGTTATCATTCAAATATTCACCCAGAGCCAGTTCGAGTTTAATTTTTATTTTGATCGTCGTTTCTCATAAGCTGCTCGGAACTCCATAAAAATAGAAAACCCACATAGGCAGTCACCACCAGTTCTTGCTTGTATCCAGTTATTCAAAGCCATTTCCTATACTGTAACCTTTAATTTAACAGAGAAAGTCTGTCACAATTGAGCCATCTTTGTCCTGCTCTGCAGGTGGCTTCCCATTTGGGTAGTAGAATGTCAAATTCTGTAACAGACAGGTTCATTGGGTATTGTTCTGAGATTGTACAAAAGACAGCCTATTTACCAGCTGGGAAAAGGTGTGTGTTTATACTTCCATTAAAACCCTCTCTGTAACAGTGACAGTGACAAAGATGCTAGCTGTGACAATAAGGTGGTACTCATATGTGTCCAGCTGGAAAAAAATACTTTAAAAAAAATCTTTCATTCATAGAGTTTAAGAAAAATGTAGCACGTGCACATGAAACCACAGATTATGTCAAAGAACATAAAAGAGCAACCCAGCTCTTTTGTAAATAGATGAAGTGAGTTGAGTTTTATGGCACCAATAGCCTTTTATATTTTTTTAAGGAGGAACCACTGCCTTTCTTTGCTATGCAATTAATATTTTCAAAGATTTGTTTAGATGCAAAGTGACCTGCAAGTGACAAAGCTGGGAGGTGGACCATGGTCTCTAAATCTCCATACTGAAAGTGGGGAAAGGGTGTCACACTTCCAAATTATATGCAGATCCCAGAGTCCTAGCAGGAGAAACCAAGTGAAGAAAGACAAAAATATATCCTGCAATACGGACTCCCTCAAAGATGACTCTTCTTCCCCTTGTCTTAATATCCAGCCACCAAATTCTGTGGTATCTACAGGTACAGTTCCCTTCATCTGTCTACCATCATAAGCTGGTCTCCATGATGGGGATTACTACTTACTGTTAACCCCTCTGTCACAGGGGAAACTGTTTTCCCTAATATGGATCTGATCACATCATTCTCCTGCCCCTCACATTTCCAGGTATCACTAACACTCTCCTAGGTCCTGTTTGCCATGGACCTTTTTACAGGTCTATTTTATCTGCCAGAGATCTGTGGATTTGTAAACCCTGGATTATTTCTTTCCTCAATGTGATTTTAGGTTAAAAAGCATAAGTTTAATTATACTTAGAACCATTGCTTAGGGATAACATTTCAATCCATTTTTCACAGGAGTGGAGCTATGGTAGTGTCTATTGTTCAGATTATAAAATGATCTTTGGCACCATCTGCATATTTCTTATGATGTGAAAGTTACACTGAACAGGGGAAGACAAGTTGCAATTCAAAACCCAAATAAAATGATAGCTTATTGTGGTGTTCTGAAATGCACTGAGCACATCTCATTTGCTGGAAGGTTGTTCAGGCTGTAGACACTCCCCAAGTCAACTGTGCAGTCTGGGTTTGACCTTGAGACTGACCTTGGATCGTGGAGGAGCTCGGATGTACCACTTGCAATCAACGGCCTCGCTAGCAGAAGCTTTGCCTTCCTTCATAATCTGTATAGATTCCACAATTCCTTCTGGACCGCCCATTTCAAACTCACACACTACATAACAAAATGCCAAACAAACACAAAAATGGAGCTTGAATAATAAACCAAAAGTATATTTCATAGCAGAAAACAAAGTCCTCTGAACATTATTAAATATCTATTTTACCAACCTGGTAATGGTTTCAAAACTCCAAGGTCCTTAAAGTCAGGATCTTAAAAATTGAGAAAAAGACAATTAATGTTATTCTGCCTTTATTACAGAATAATAAATGTTGAGTAACATACCGTTACATGATGTTGTGTAACATACCATTAAATGATTCAGAAATCTGCCTAAAAATCCACATTAGGGATAATTTAATGCTTAAATCAGAACTGCATGATAATATTGACTGAAATGTTAATTTATGTAACGTATTGTTATTACTATAGAGTTTTTATCAATATAAAATAAGCTGTTGTGTTGTTGTTGTTTAAAAAAAAAAAACACACAAAAACACCTTCCAATGCCATTCTGTCCTCAGATCATCAGATATGAATCTTACTCATTATCTCTAACTCCATAATTGGACAATAGATATATTGGTAAAATATATGCTTAGATAATTCAAAGTCTGGGTAAACTGCCATTTATTCTAGATACAACTATTTTGTCTGATTTGAAAGATTCTGTAAATTGTTGAAACACAATTTTCAGCTGAAATATTGGAAGCACAGAGTTAATGTAAAACCTAAGGCTCCGCACACGTGGTGGACTGCACAATCTCTTTTTCCTCTATTCTTTTCCCTAAGTTTTCATTCCATGTTGTAACTACTCATCACCCATTCTCCTCAGCTTCCTCTCAACCTACAGCAGGTCCAGGTATCTGCTCATAGTCTTCACATAAATGCCAGAGAAGCTTACTTTCTCATGAGTCTCAGAAAAGTCCGTAGATGATAAAAACCCAAAATGATGGTCTCCCTTCTATGCCTGGGAATTGATTTTGAGATAGGCTTATGATGATGAAAGTTACACTGACCAGGGGAATCTCCCAATTAGTCCATGATATAATTTAAAGGTATTATGATATAAAGGTCAGCCCACGGGAGGGCTGCTGAGAAAGTTTTCCTCAATAATAATAATAATGACAAGGCAGGTATATTGACAGTGAGCTCATGATGAGCAGAATGGAGAGCTGGAGAAGTGAGTCCTTATCTGTTCACTGGGCTTGGTAGTAACCTGCAGTCACCCCCTGAGGGTCTTTGCTTTAAAAACAATATGAGTCCTTCTACTCTCAGTTACTTCGAATTGGATTTTCTTTTATTTATGGGCGAAGGCTTCAAAGCCTATAATTTATCTTGGAGACCCATCATGTCCAATTTAAAAAATGACTCTGAAATTTAATTTTATTTTACTACTAGGATATTTGTTATAAATTTAAAATCTTGTAAAGTTAAATATACAGGGTGGGGCAAAAGTTGGTTTACAGTTGTGAGTATTCGAAATACAGAGCTTATGCTTGTATTGTTATTTATTCATGATTGCATTATTTCTATAAAAACAACTGTAAACCTACTTTTGCCCCACACAGTATTTTTCAAGGTACTGCTCAGCAATAGTCTAGGATTGAAATATGAAAGGAGAGTGCTCTTTCTGGAGGGAGTTAGTTCTGGATGTTAAGACTGTGTGTGTATGTACATCCGTGTGTCTGTGTGGATGCGTTAAACCCACAACTGCAGACCCACAGTACTCGTCATAGGTTGTTGTTTGTGCGCTTGTTAAACCATAGCATTCACTGATCTGTTGAAATGGAAGGCGTGGGTCAGCCATGCTACAATTTAGTCATATCGCCTGCTATTTAGACTCAGTTTACTATGGGACATTATTAGAAGTGGTCATACATTTTGCATCAAGATACAAATTCCTTTATTCTTTTACCTTTCTGGAAAAAAAAGAAAGAAGTACCTGAATGCAATTTCCATGAAAGTAGACATGAGAGCAACATAATTACCCAGGATTAGGACACCCCTAGCAGGCTTTTCCCCTTCATCTAACTCAATAGGCATTTGGTTATTCTTTCAAATGATGTATATTTAATACCAACTGTACATAAGAGCAGAGCCATGTTTTGTATACAGTTACTCAGATGTGTTGTCACCACAAGGCAGTTTTGTTGATATTGAAGAGACCATCCACATTGTCTCTTATTTTGACATCCAGTTTGCTCACCTCAGTTATTTAGATTTTTTATTATTCATTATAACCTTTTCACTATTTTGAATAATGCTTAATAGTCATTATTATTCACTACCTCCTTTTGGATTAGTATATTTCAGCCTTGCACGGCTGTTCCTATGATCATGTGGAAATGTGGCTGGTATACTATTTTCTAGTTGAAGGCTAACATTTGTCATTTTTATAACTCATGCCAGACAATGTCGAGAGAAATGCCAGTTCTTGCAATTGAAAATTTATTTTTGTCTTTGTATAATGCACTGATAGTTTAAAAAAAAGTTAGGAAAAATTATCTCTGCAATTCCATTTGAATTAGCCACCAGTCATGTCATCATCACCATAACTAATGGCCCATACAATCTGTGAAAACAAACAAATACAAACAATACAATGATTTTTAAAAACAGTGGACACTGAATTTAAGAATACTAAGACGGACTAATTGCTCAGGTTGTTCAAGGATAATGACAAATTGTTATGCAGAAGTGCAATGAAGTTGACTAAGTTATCTCCTATTCTAGGACCCCCCCCCCCCAATCTACTCTCCACTATGCAACTGGAATACATTTTTTAAAATATAAATTTAAATCTAACCATGATACACTCTGGCTTTCCATTGCTGTTGGAATAAAACCAGAACTCTTTTTCATGGACTATAAAGCCCTGTGTTCTTGCCCCTACCACCTGACCCCAAATAACCCCCACTGCTCACCTCTGCTCTCTCCTCTCAAGAACATTGACCCTTTCTCTTTCCTGCCGCTTCCCAGGACCCCAGTCTGTTCTTATTCTCAGGGCTTTGAACTTAAACCCTTTCCCATCTGCAATGGTTTTCTCTCAGGTCCTTGCAGAGCTGGATCTTTCTCATTTTTCAGTTCTTAAATCAAATATGATATTCTTAGAAAGGTCTTCCTGGGGCGACCCTGTTTACAGTGGTATTGTTTCTTTTGTTACTATAGTTGACTATTATTTTGCTACTTGTTTTGTTGACCACATTCTCCCATTGGACTGACAGACACTTTCTCCACCACCATTGCACTGCCCATGTCTAAAGGTGGTGAGAAGGATCACACAGAGCATTTCAAAGAGGCCTCCTACCTATGGAAAGGAGAAATCTACTCCAAACGAAATGGGAAAGCTGTGCACGAGGAACAAACAAATGACAGAAGCTATCAGTCCTTCAGCTTTATAAATGTCAGTAATTTGCCTTATTGTGATTCCGGCAGAAAAAATATTTTCTAGTAATTTTATTGTGACAGTTTGATTGCAACATTATTTGGAAACAAAGAATTGCTTGAAAAGTATTGAATATTTCAAATGTAGACATAATTAGCTCTTGAAAAGCGGAATATCTCAGCTACTGTGTGTGCTTCTCCAACCGATATGATAACTCATCCATGAAGATGCGTTGGCAGTGTTGTTCACTGCCAGTTTGTAGCTATAACAAATATTTGTTGGATTTCAAAGAGCTCATCATATTTATGTTTGAAAAATTTGGTTCTTTTTCTTAAATGATTGATCTCAAATTGAGGCTACAATGGAGCTAGTTCTTGCAATCAGTTGATTCAAAAATGTTGTGTTGCATCACACACAATAAGTTAAATTTTAATATCCAGAAAGCCTGGAGAAGAAAAGATTGTCTTATACTTTTGTTTCTTATTTTAGAATTTTGGCATTTGCTTTGGTGTAGATTCTTCACATCCTTGAGTCAAAGAACTCTGTTTTGCAAATTTCTTTTCAGCATTTTTAGATGTGACATGGTACCATTGAGTCAAGAAAGAAAATAATCTACTTTTCCCTTCAAAAGTCTGCAATGCATCTTTTCACATTAAAGAAACCACATAAATAATTTTTCATTTGTTTTATAATGAAATAATAAATGTTAATATAATAATTGTATAAATATATAATAACATGTTTCATATTAAAGAAAACTAGAGGCCTGGTGCACAACATTCATGCACTGGGGGTGGGGGCATTCCTCAGCCCCACCTGCACCCTCTCACAGTCCGGGACCCCTCAGGAGATGTCCGACTGCCAGCTTAGGGGAGCAGGCCTAAGCTGGCAGTTGACATCTCCTGAGGGGTCCTTAGTGCTGCCCCGGAGGTGGGAGAGGCTCCTGCCACCGCTGCTCCACTCGTCAGCCATGAGCCCAGCTTCTGGCTGAGCGACGCTCTCCCTGTGGGAGTGCCCTGACCACCAGGGGGCAGCTCCTGTGTTGACCATCTGCTCCCTGGTGGTCAGTGCACATTATAGCAACCAGTCGTTCTGCCGTTCGCTCAATTTACATATTAGAGTTTCATTATATAGGATAGTTATTCTATATTATTTTTTGTATGGAGGAAGTTTTTTGAAAAAGTAGTATTTCAAAACAAAAAGAAATAAAAGCTTAAACTTGTTTGTCACCACTCTGAAACTCAAAATGACAAAGTTGCTGGAATATCTTACAAAATAGGTTACTGTGTTGCATTGACTGGAGAAGCCCACACAGATTCTCAGGAAACTAATCAAACAGCTGCCACTGCTGAATGGCTACTGGATAAAAGTCAGTGGGAAAAAAATCCCAGGACACAGCTGCTGTCTAACCATACAGTAGCACTCTGATTTTCAATTTTAGGTGAAGCAAGAAGACAGAGTTAATATCTTGTTTGTGTAACAAATAGACAAATGTGCAGACATGGTTGAGCTGGCTTATTTTGCTTGAATTTGTCCAGTTTCAGCATGGGGTAATCATCGAAGGCTGCTTTCATGTGGCTGCTTGGCAGCAAAATGGAGTGATGAAGTATTCAAAACATTGGATAACTGGAATCTTATGACTTGTAGGAGAACATCTGTGTTGATGGAGCAAAGTCAATGGTGAATGAAACTGCTGATGCCCTAACATGAGACAACAGCACCAATCTTCATGGTTAGCATTGCCTGTACAACTTATCCCTATGCATTTGTGGGCAAAGAACTATTTTACTTGAAAGTCTCCTTAATGAGGCCTGGCCGGGTAGT